AATGCATATCACACAATTTTTGTGAACACAAAAAAATTTGATACGCATATTTTCAATAGATTCACTATTTGAAATTTTATGATAAACATTTTTATTTTATGGACGTCAACTCGGGGTACAGTCGATTGAAATGGATTTCATTGGCCTGACAAAAGATAAGATTATAATCCATTGAATCAACCGTACAGTTCTCTCCTCCCCCCAAATGACCTACCGTAGAATGCCCTCCTCAAACATGTTCTATTTTCGAAAATTAATTCCTCATAAAGTAATCAATTTAAACAATGTGCGCTGAATAAACGGTCTGAGAAAACTTTTTATACCGAAAAATCTTTTTATCCTGTTTATAGCATAGAGCATTAGTTATAATTGGTTTACGATTAGTTGTTTTGATTAGTTAGATCAAATTATTTTGCCCTCGGAGCCAATTTTTGAAAAACCGATATTTTATCTCCCCTAAATCAATTGGGGGGGGGGGGGGGGACTGTACTTTTGATCCGATCTATTGTGAACCTGTTACAATTACTTTATTTTGATTTTTATCGGGACGAACGAATGAAACACCAATAAAATCAATTGATATCCATTAAACTCCAGTTTTTTTTGAATTTCTCCCACGTAGAAAACTTTTGCTACTTTAGATCCCTATTTTTGCGTCCGAGTTTTGGTATATCCAGATTTACTCGACCCTCGCCGCGTCCAGGTTTTCCAGACTCAAACTCTCGGTCAAAAAAATGAAAAGCCTAGGGTTCAGCTAAGACTGGAGGTACATATTTGATATTTTTGAATTTGTTATACTGATGCAGGACGAAATGCGTGAATTCGAAAATTAGATTTTGCCTAAAAACATAGTTGTTTCTTCGCTAAAATAAGTGAGAAGAGACTTAACATTTCTCTCGCAAAAAATTAGGGACTAGCGGCATCTGCGGGAAAACTTTGCGCAACCGTTTCTTTCGCTGGAAATTTTTCTCTCATATTTGATAGGGTAGTTTTTAAGAAAACTCAAAAAATTTCGATTTAACGGTCAAATCTTGACTTTGTGAAAACGCTAACTTTTTTCTTCTAAAAGCAGGTAGTGGACGGTAAAGTAGAGAAGATTTCAAACTTGTATTTCTCAATTAAACAGCCAACCTGAGAGATGGCACGATAATTATCGAGTAATGGCAAAAAAACTGGGCGTAACTAATTACAAAAGTAAATTTTAATAACCTGTTGTGTTGATTAAACCAATGATATCAGAATTGGGTGTATAGTTATCGAGAAAAGTCCAAGAAGCGGTCAAAAAATTGGATAGCTGACAATTGCGATAATCATTCCTTCTTGTTAAAATTCTTTTTGGCGTACGAGATTCATCACTCTTTAATTTCGATTGAACCCAACAATCCAGGTTCTCGAAAACAGTCGAAATGGCAAAAAACGATCAAAAAATTGAAACTATCACGCTAATGCAGGACCGCGAACGTAGTTAAGGCAGAGTAGTTCTTGAGAAAGGTCATTACTTGAAAGAAAAATGTCAAGAAACCAAAAATTTGACTTTTCCGAGAGCCATAAACTTTTGTGTATTGAAAAAATCTGTGCGTAGTTGCGTGTGCAAAGGAACTTTCCACAGCTCATTCTTCGAATTGAATCCAATATCTCAGATATGGGAGAGTAATTTTCGGTAAAAGTCATCATATTTTTAGAAAAACGCTCGAAAAAATGACTCTTCCGAGGACGATATCTTTTTGTGCAAAAAAAGTGTGAGTGGCAGCTAATACAGGGAAACTTCTTAGTACCCAATATATCCATTGAACCAGCAACCTCAGGTTTAAGAGGTTCGTTTTTGATAAAAGTTTCACTAATCCGAGAGCCATTTTATGTGTTAAAAAGGTTTCGGCCGCTTATGAAGTTGAGCTTTTGAAATTCACCCTATGCATTGAAATATAGCTTAGTTTTTGTGTCGAATAAATTTATGATATCAGACTTGGCAGAATAGTTATCGAGAAAGGTCCAAATAACGGTCAACAAGTCAGATAATTGAAATTTTCAGAGAATCATTCCTTCTTGTTTAAAAAAAATATTGAGGCTACCGCTTATGCGGAAGAGATTCGCCAGACTTTTAGTTTCGATTGAACCAAAAAACCCAAAATTGGCAGGAAATTTCTCGAGAAAAGTCAAAGTTTGGTCAAGAAATCGCGTTAAGCTCTCAGCAATATGAATAAATTCTTCAAAGCGCGCATAATTTAGTCCAGAACATGGAAGATTTGGCAATTTTCAAACCACCAGAACTTTAAAAAAATCCGAGGTGAATTATCTTTTTACATTTGACCTCAGGAATGTCATAATGTTTATTGAAAATCATAATTTCGATCGGTGAAAATTGACTGAATAAAAAAACCACACCGAGCATAAATATTCCGTTTTCTTCGAAAGTCGGAACAACAAGTGATATAAGTAAAAATCATTTCATTCATCAAATTATAGTGGTTTCAATAATCTAACATTCCAACATTCCGGGGGGGTGGACGCATCTTTTCTTTTCCCTCAGGGATTCGACCCCCTGCCGACCCAAAGGGTCCCCCTTTGATATTGGAGCACGCCAATAAATGCGATTTTTTGGTCCAAATTGTCCAAG